AACTAAAGGATATGATGAATTATATGCTTATTAGTTATGGGCTTCCTGATAACATGTGGGGGAGGCTATTCTTTCTGCTTGTCATGTTTAGAACAGGATTCCACATAAGAAGCTTGACAAGACTCCATACGAGCTATGGAAAGGTCGTGTGCCAAATCTGAAATACCTAAAAGTGTGGTGGTGCTTAGCAAAAGTTGGCATACCCAGTTTTAAGAAGGACAAAATTGGTCCTATTGTTGATTATATTTTTGTTAATTATGCATATCAAAGTGCAGCTTATCGCTTTCTTGTTAAAGGGGCTAACGATTCTTATGCAGGTGGCCACATTATTGAGGCAAAAGATGCTAAATTTTTTGAAAATATTTTTCCTTGAAAAATATCTAATGATATTATATTACCTTCTAGTAATTCTGTTAGTTCACCTATTACTCCTCCTATTACTAACAATGATTCTGTTTTGGAGCTAAGGAAAAACAAAAGAGCACGAAAGAATAACATATTTGGACCTGATTTTATTACTGATTTTTTATCTGAATCCATCAATATTGATGAAGATTTTGTTCATATCTTTGTGCTGGAAGATGATCTAAGAACCTATGATGAGGCAATAAGGTAAGTTGATGCTATGTTTTGGAAAGAAGCAATTGATAGCGAGTTACAATCAATTCTCAATAATAACACTTTGGAATTGGTTGATCTTCCTAGGGGTTGCAAGCCCATTTCTTGTAAATGGATCTTTAGGAAAAAATTGAAACCTGACGAATCCATAGACAAGTATAAGGCTAGAATAGTAGTGCAGGGGTTTTACTAAAAAACATGGCTTACTTTACAGTCACTAAAATTGCAACCATTAGGACTCTAATTGCTCTTGCTTGCATTTTTGATCTTTTTGTACACCAAATGAATGTCAAAACTGCCTTTCTGAATGGTGATTTGGATAAGGAGATTTACATGGTCCAACCCAAAGGTTTCGTTGTTCTAGGCCAAGAGAACAAGGTTTGTAAGTTAGTCAAGTCGTTGTATGGGCTTAAGCAATAACATGACAAATTCGACAAGACAATGACTGGTAATGGTTTTCATGTTAATGAAGGTGATTTTTGTGTTTATTCTAAGCATGATACTCATGGTTGTGTGATTATTTGTTTTTATGTGGATGATATGTTGATTTGTGGCACTAACTTGGATCGAGTAAGTGAGAAAAAAGGACTTTTGAGTTTGAATTTTATTGAAAGACATGGATGAGGCAGATGTGATTTTGGGAGTTAAAATCAAAAGGACTCCAAATGACATTTGTCTTAACCAGTCACAATATGTTGGAAAACTTCTTATAAAGTTTGACTCATTTAATGTCGATCCAGTTAGGACTCCATATGACCCTGATTTCCACCTAAAGAAAAATAAAGGTGATCCAGTTCATCAGTCTTAATATGCTAGAATTATTGGTAGTGCTATGTTTCTTATGATCTACACTTGACCTGACATTACTTATTCTGTTAGTATATTTACTTGGATAAGGAGATTTACATGGTCCAACCTGAAGGGTTCATTGTTCTAGGCCAAGAGAACAAGTTTAGTAAGTTAGTCAAGTCGTTGTATGGGCTTAAGCAAGCTCCAAAGCAATAGCATGACAAATTCGACAAGACAATGACTGGTAATGGTTTTCATGTTAATGAAGGTAATTTTTTGTGTGTATTCTAAGCATGATACTCATAGTTGTGTGATTATTTGTTTTTATGTTGATGATATGTTGATTTTTGGCACTAACTTGGATCGAGTAAATGATACAAAAGAACTTTTGAGTTCGAATTTTAAAATGAAAGACATGGGTGAGGCATATGTGATTTTGGGAGTTAAAATTAAATGGACTCCAAATGACATCTGTCTTAACCAGTCACACTATGTTGAAAAACTTCTTAAAAAGTTTGACTCATTTAATGTCGATCCAGTTAGGTTTATGACCCCGATGTCCACCTAAAAAAACATAAAGGTGATCCAGTTCATCAGTCTTAATATGCTAGAATTATTGGTAGTGTTATGTTTCTTATGAACTACACGTACTTGACCTGACATTACTTATTTTGTTAGTAGATTGAGCAGGTGCACTCATAACCCAAGCAATGATCATTAGGTTGCTTTTAGAAGATTGCGTAGGTAACTTAAGGGTACCATGGATTGGGGTTTTGCACTACTCCAAATTTCCTAGAGTTTTTGAGGGCTTTTGTGATGCCAACTAGGTGTCTGACAACAAAAAAGTTAACTCCACTAGTGGTTATGTCTTGCCCCTTGGGGGTGGAGCTATATCATGGAAACCTAGTAAGCAATCTTGTACTGCTATGGAATATGAATTTATTACTCTTGAATTAGCAGGTCATGAGGCAGAATGGTTGAGAAACATGCTTGCTGATATTCCACTGTGGGGGAAGCCAGCTCCTTTAGTTGCACTTCATTTGTGATTCACCAGCTTCGATTGCTATTGCAAACTACCATGTCTACAATGAGAAGAAAAGACACATTCGTTTGAGGCATAAGGCTGACAAAAACTTGTTGTCTGAAGGGGTGATATCACTGGACTATGTAAAGTCCGAAAAGAATGTTGTGGATCCGTTGACTAAACGCCTATGTAGAAAATTAGTTTTGGAAACATCGGAAGGGATGGGGCTAACGCCCATAGTATGAATTGTAAAGTAATGAACTCCTACTCATTATGAGTTCAAAGAGGAACATTATATAATAATTCGGAAGCACAATTTTTATTTTTTCCCATCCCTAAATGTTTGTTTTTTGTTTTGCTACAAATGAGAAAAAGGTTGAGCATATGACTCCTAATGAACCCATATCCATATTTTTGGTGGTGTGCTGTAGCTCACACTTGAAGGGATTCACCTACTTAATTAGGTGTGGAAGTGTGGCCGCTTCCTATGAGTATTTCGTGGGTTTATACTCTAGAGCACCTATAAGCATCCAGTCTTGAATGTATGGCCAGTATAATGCGTCATTTTATCTGCGAAGTTTCAGAGTATCATACATGGTCAATTGTGTGACTCAAGTGACGGGTTCCTAACTCCCTATTAAGTTCAAGACGAAGGTCACTTGGTAGGAAATGGATCATAGCTTGATGTTCACTATGTGTCAATTCAAGTTGCGAGACATTGGCACTTATGCAATTGTTTGTTTTGCCCAGAATTCATATTTTCTTCTGTTCCTTTTTCTCATCTGCGAATCTGTGGGGGTTGTTGGAAATTCTTGATGAAAACAAAGAAAAAGAGTGGTATAAGAGTGAGGTAAAAGTCTCTCATTTAAAGAAAGTGAATGCTCTCCCTTATTTAAATACTAGGTTAAAATCCCGTGTAATGCACGGTTGTTAAATATTTTTGACAATAATATTACAAAATATAAAGTATATAAAAGATATTTTTGGGTATATATGGAATATGATTGTCAAAGTGGAAAGAAAATACATAAGGTATAAATAGTTTACTTAAAGATTTTGCACAACAAAAAAAAAAAAAAAAAAAAAAAAAAAAAGAAGAAGAAGAGAGAAGCGAAAAAAGCGGGAAAATTTTTCATAAGGTAATGACAAGTGTCATGGAAGGATTTGCTTTTAGTATAGGTTAATTAATAGATAGATTGTAGTACCTTAGTCCTAATTAGTTGAGTAAGTGGGAAGTGGGTTGTGGGTTATACCACACAAACACACATGTGTGCGCTGAGCTCGTTCGGGTCGGGCTCGGGCCTCGGGACTTGGGGTCTTGGGGAATACGATGCGCGGGCGTGGGTGGGTTGTGGGTCCTCTATCTTTTTGGAGAAATTTTTATCTCTTTTCTTTCTTTGGTAACAGGATATTATTTATTATTTTTTTACTATTATAGTTTGATTAGCCCTTGATTTCGGCTAATTAATTGGCAGATTTATTCCTTGTCGTTTTGGTGTAATGTACCTAGTCGCCTGGCCGAACGTACCTAGACATTTTCTTGTAGTTGCTGTTTTACTTCTTCTTCCCTTTAAATAGTTGTACTTTCACCAGTTAAAAACATAATTACAATTACGCTTTTCTCTCTACAAAATCCTAACACTGTTATTTGATTTCTGGGTAAATAAATATTCTGAGTTCTTGTCGGGTTTGTGAGTGCACACAAACTCCGACGCCATGCTTATCTTGGAGGGCAACCGCTTTGCGTCTACTGCACTGGGAGGTAGCGCGGATTGTCTTTTAGGTCAGTGGTAATCCACGACGTGGCAACTGTCATTTGGTTCACTCCACATTGAGATAAGTTTTTATTATTTTATAGCATATATGTCTAACAGTAACCGCCTCATCCCCGTCTCGCCCTACTTTGTACCCGTCCCATCCTACTTTGTACCCGTCCCATACCCACATTCATATATTTTAAAAAATAAAATTAAATACTTTTATACTACTCGTATCTTATAAAAAATAATTAAGTAAAATAAAGTAGTAAATATAATACTTTGTGATAAGACTTAGCTTATACAATAAACAAAAAAAAATGTGTAATATTAACAATGTTTTTTTTTAGTAATCTATGTAATTGTTTTATTAGGCAAGCGGGCCTTGGGTGGGGATTAGGTGGGTGTGGAATTGATACCCGTCGGAGCGCAGATGATTTTGGAATTGTACTCATCGAGGCGGGGATGGAATGAATTTTTGACTCATTGCGGGGATGAGAATAGAGATGTTAGACAGAGATGGGGTGGGATGAGATGGGAAAACCAATATCAGCTCCGCCCCATTGACATCCCTAATTTTAGATCATACGAAAATTGATTCATTGGACTACGAGACTGTCATTCATAAAATGTGTACAAGGATCCTACTAAAAATTTTATGTTAACCTAGCTAGATAAATAAAGTACAAAAAAAAAAAGAAACAACCCACGAAGGTCGGGTGGACTCGGGTCTATCGTCGTCAGCTCGTCACTAGTCCGGGCCAAGGAGTAATAGTTGGCTAGTCAAGTCCTATATTAACTCACAAAACGCACGCCGCCAATGTGAGAGAAAGAGAGAGCAGAAGCAGAAGAAGAAACAGGCGGGAACTTGTTTTTCGGTTTTCTTCCTTCACCTTCTTCTTTTCTTCCCCTTTCTCTCTCCTCCCATGGCCGCCGCCGAAGGGATCCCAACCACCTACCCTTCACATCCGCCGGAGATCGTCGGCGTCGCAACTTCGGCCGATGAAGTTCCCGTGCTCCGCTCACCTCCGCCGTCTGATGACGAGGACCTCCGTTCTCAACCCGTCGTTTCTTCCGTTGAAGACCTCCGCGCTAAGATCATCAAGCAGGCTAGTTTTTGTTTTGCTCTTTTGTGTTTTACTTCATGTTGTTTATTTGTGAATTTGAATTTGAATTTGAAAATTTGGCGATTCAGAACTTGTTTAGGGTTCATGTTTTTAGGGTTTGTGGATGTTCGTTTCTGAAATGATTGAGTTGAAAAGGGAAATACTTTGCATACTACGTATTTGGATTTAAGTTATGGTTTGAGATTATAGGTGATTGAATTAACAAGAGAAGATTAATTGAATCATCAAGCAGGCTAGTCATTAATTTGAAATCGAAATGTTGGCTTTTGTTTTTTTAATCAATTGGTTTAGGGATTTTTGATGTTCATATCTGAAGTGATTGAGTTGAGAAGGTAATGGTGTATTTTGTTTATTTGTGAAATTGAATTTGAAATGTTGGCATTTTTTTATAATTTGTTTAGGGTTCATATTCTTAGGGATTTTAGATGTTCATTTCTGAAATGATTGAGTTAAGAAGGAATGAATTGTCATTTTGCATACTACTTGTTTGTTTGCATACTACTTATATGGATCTAATTTATGCTTAGGGTTCGAAATTATAGATAATTGAATTAACAAGAGAAGACTATCTATTTTCCCAAAAAAAAAACCTTTTTTTTCAATGGTTTGCAACAAAAGTACTTACTATGCTAAGTAGGTTGCTATTATGTTTTTCTGAAGCTTTGGTGGTTTTACAGGTTGAGTATTACTTCAGTGATGAAAATTTGCCCAATGACAAGTTTTTGTTGAAACAAATGAAGAAAGACAAAGACAGGTTTGGTAAGTTTTGACAATGATTGCTCTCGACCATTTTTCTGTAGTCTGATATGGATTAGCTGATTCTGATGCTGCTTCATTATGTATTATGACTGATGATGCCCTCTTTTTGCTTGATGTTATATTCCTCATTCTGATTTGTGAATTTGCGAGGAACTATTATACTACTATTAGAAAAAAATCATTCGATATCACTCTTTAAGCTGTCTCAGCTGTAAATTTGCAACGATAGAGATGTTAAAATGATGAAAGTATACAGGTACTTGTGACAGACCACCTTGCCTGGATTTTTCTCCTGGCGCGCCCAAATCACTTGTGGCTGCGCCGAGCTTCTTGGGTGGGTGTCCAGTCTGAATGAGCTGTAATTAATTGCTATCTGATTTCATCTCTGCTCTTGTATGCTGAGGTCCATTAAGTAATAACGAATTTATTTAGTTGGTTTAAGTATTGAATTTGTGCTACATAAATTGGATTGTGTGGCTTGATCTGGTTGTTGAACGAGACCATTTAATGATTTCCCAAAAAGACAAACAAAACAAATAACGAAAACATGTGTTTTTTGGGCATATCAAACAAATCTGAATAGGACAGAATTATCTTCACTGAATGTCTGAATCACCTAAAGCAGGGTCCTTTTTAACCTGAAAACTTTAACCCATGCTTGATCAGCGTCTTTGAATGACCTAAACTAAACCAAAATTGAAATATGGTTAACTAGACCTGTCGATGGCCCAAACTGATTGTTTTGAAATGATTCTAACTCAAATGCAACTGACCAAACCAAATACAGATAACCTGAACGCAAATAGAACTGAATCAAGCCTAATCTCATCCGATAATTGACATGATAGCAAAAAGTTTTATTTATTTATTTTATAACTATTAATTTTCCTTCTTAGTATGCATATAGCACATTCGTATTATATTTTTGTTTATATTCCCCGTCCTCTCGAAGTAACAACTTTGTTAAAAAATTTGCAATTGTTTAAGTTAAGATGATGCTTAACTAAATATGCAACTTCAGGAAATGAGTGCAATCACGGTTTCATAAATATGGAAAAGACCATCAACTCATCAAGCGCTTAAATTATCATTATCTATTAGATCTATTGTTTCCATTACGGAGTTAAAAGTTAAAACCCGGTCATCCCATCACAGATCAATCATTATTTAATGGATTCTGGATTTGTCGTTCCACATAACATTGTTACATAATGGCTCGACAAAAATAATGTATTTTCCCCCTTGTCATCCATAGAAAAAACTCGCGGCTGCGATAGCAAACTCCCTATCGCGGTAATGGTTGCGTTGTGGAAATCGCTTGTAATGGACGAATAAAACGGATTGCGGTAACGGTTTCAAAAATTCACATTAATGGGTTTAAGCATTTTTTAAGTTTTTAAGTTTCTAAAGTATTCTCTGAAATTTATCTAAATAGAAGTGGGTAACATGTTTTAAAGATTACATAATTAAGTTTTAATCAATTAAAATAAGAACGGTTGTAACAGGTAATAAATGTTCTAATGCAGTGAGTCATTGTTACTTAACGGACAACGCAGGAGATGTAATTTTGTCGTGGCGTTAAATTAGGGTTTCGTAGAACACCAAATCCAAAATTCATTACAAAACAACTGTTTTTTACATTGTCATCTGTTATGCCACGTTAGAACATTTATGTTTTGAACCATTACATCTGTGTACTTTTAATTAAAATGCCCAAAAATATTATATTAATCAATTAAGTAGTTTATAAAACATGATATTTTATGTAATTTTATGTTCAACAGCTATGTTACTCACCCATATTATGATATATCTGATTATATTATGCCGAAAGTATACTTTTAAACTTAAATAACGTCAACAAGGCCTAACCCCATAATTGATTTTTTCAAAAATTTACACTGCGTCAGCCATGTTCCATACTTCATCCGTTACATTCCATTTCTGCGGCAATGCGACTGCAGAGGCAAAGGTGGGTAGGGTCTGAGTGGTTGATGAGATTTAATTTAAGATAAATGAATTGATCACCTCTTCAAAGCAGCCAATTGCAAGTCATAACCACAGCTTTGGTTTTGTGAAAAAGATGCCCCTGTTCCCAAATAAACCACAGAACTGAAATTGTGTAAATACTGAAAAACCAAGGAGAGACATAACTTGAGGCTTCAGCTTTTCTGTTTCTTTTCCAAGTTATAGGAAATGGGCAACATAAGCTGATCAGCTTTCCATTAAGTCCCAGAAAACTTTCTAAAGATTGTAAGTAATTTATCTTTTGGGGCCTATTGTTGCTAATAAATAAATTATTATAGATTACCAAAGAGATATTGGATACCAGTTCCTTACTTTCATTACGTCAAGTCATTAATCCTCTACTAACACTAGATTCATATTTTTGCATCAGTATCCCCTTCTCCATAGCTTCTAGGAAGGGTCCAGGGGTAACTCAGAGCATCTTAGCAGTTTCATTTGCCAAGTTACTTTGAACTTGATTTTTCTAAACAAAATTTCACAGGCTTTACTTTTATCCTCATTTATCCTATTCTATGCCTGCTATCAGATGCTTCAAAGTCATAGTGTTGCTGTGTTGGTGGCTTTGGTACAATGTTCTGTTCTGCCAATTTGATTCTACTCAGTTGAGAATTGCATCTTATCTTGAACGAGGCAATCAACCACACTTGCAGTCTAAGTTGGACTAAAAAATTTTTACCCTCGAATTGGCCCAAAAGTGGCTTATTAATTTTGATTTTCGTTCTGGCTGTATGCAGCATATTATGCTGCTGCTAATCTATCCAATATTGAAGCTTATGTGTGTGTGTTTTTGCATCCTGTTTCACTTTGGTTATTGATTTTAATGCTTAAACTGCAGTGACTCAGAGGATTTATGCTTCTTGCAGTATCTATTTCGTTAATTGGTTCTTTTAGAAAGATGAAAAGGCTTACAAAAGACATTTCAACAATCGTAGATGCACTGAAGGAGTCTTCACAGCTTGTAAGCTTTTGTCTTCTATATCCTTTTGGATTCCCCCTTCTCTCTCTCTCTCTCTCTCTCTCTCTCTCTCTGTATGTGTGTGTGTGTGCACGCGCACACGCGCTTCTCTGTATGCTCTCTGGTTTTTTCACCGCCATGGTTTGCATGAATTTTGTTTGGTTGCTTAGAATTTCACGTGTTTGTTTTCTAGCTAACTAGCTGCATGTCATTATTTGATCTAGGTTTTGAGTTCAGATGGGAAGAAAGTAAAGCGACGACATCCTCTTCCATCAAACGAGGATTCCAAGGTATTTGATCTAGAAGGAAATTTTCTCTTCTTAATTTATCAGGAGTTTAATGAATCTAAATTACTGGGCTTTAGCTTTGTACAGTTGTTGTAGCAAATTTACCTGAAGACCACTCAGTGCAGAATATCCAGAATATTTGTGGTCGAGCTGGCAGGTAGTTCCTTCTATAGTTCTTGGTCCTTAAATGTAATCATTCTTCTGGGTGGTGTATTGTTGCTCCTATATTTAATGTTACCTGTTTCTGTAGTATAAAGACTATATCCATACACGATCCACATGCTGCTGCGGATTCAGTGAAGAGAAACAAGGCCGAGAAACTGGTTAATGGCAAGGTAAAATTTGATGCTGGGCATATTCCTGCTGTGTATTTACTAGGGAAACTAGTGACTCTGGTTGTTTAATCAATGCACCAATGCTATATGAGAACTTTATTATGCTATATGAATTTTATAGCTCATTTACTTTATCTTTGCCTAGCTTCTTATGCGCTTTTCTTCCTTGAGGCTACAACTGATAGCAACTGTACAAATAAGTCTATTGACTTTTAGTTGGAAAAAATTAGCCCTATAACCCTTCCTTGATGTGAAATTAACCTTGTCGTCTTGTTTCCAGCCAATGGAAAGACCATTATTTTACTTGAAAAGGTATTTCACATCAATAAATTTGGTTATAAGAACCAATTTATACCTTATTATCCTAAGAAAAAAATTCTATTGATGTTTTATACGTGCTCTTTGCTAAGATAAGGATTAGTGTATGAATGTGTAAACTAAGTACTATGTATATTCTTTATTGTATCCAAAAAATAACCATACCAGTGTCTAAAGTTGGTTCACTTGGTTGTGCCAGTAGGCTGGTTTTATTCCACCTTTTTGTTTGCACCAGGGATTCTGTATTGGATATCTTTACATGCCTGCTGAAACCAAAATTTTCATAAGACTATTCAAGGCATTAAATAAATGAGTTTCAATATCAATTATATATAGTTAAAATAGCACAATGATATTGATAATTGACAAGCGATCTACGCATCAAATTCCATTTATAAGCATAAAAGTTCAGCACAAAATTGAAAAACTTGTATTTTTTAAAGGATTTCAGCTCATTATAATAGTGGTCAGTTAGGCTTTGATCTGGTGAATCAATCACACATTTTCTTTAGGAATGATTATGTAGAATGATTTAAAGTTGGTTGTACACTGAGAGATTTTATTGCATGTTGGGAAAGGTACTGTATTGGGTTATTTATATCCAATTATAGGTGTAGCTATAAGACTTGGGGATAATTTATTTACCTGTCGCACATGTATGCGTATATCTTTATTTATAAGGAGGGATGATAGGCCAATCAGGCTATGCTCTCTTCACCTAAAATAAGGTGTAATGGTCCGATTATAAGGTCTGATTTGAAGTTGGAACTCTTCTGGTCTAGTCTTGTCTGATTTTGATCTTCTAAATTGACTAAACTTTGACCGTATATTTACATTAACTAATAAGGGAAAAAAATTATAGTGGGGTCTTGTTTGATATGTCTGAACTCTCAATGTGTATATTTACATATATCAATGTCCATATCTTGGCCAAGGAGGAGATTTGATAGATGCTATTTTAATGGATGTTTTTAATTGATTAATTGGGATTTTAGGAATGTGGAAATCCTTGAAGTAGTGATTAGGTAGTATTGGATCCTGTTGCTTCATTTAATTTTACGCTCATGAAACTGGAAGAATAAACTGGGTTCTGAACTAGTCTTTACTGGTTAGCCCTAGCAGAGCAGACCTTTACCGCCACCTCACCATCACCACCCTACCACCTCCCATAACCAATCCAAATGCCCCTAATGTACTAGTGTGTATCATTTCTGGCTTCAAGAAATGTATATACTGCAAATTGTACTTTGTGAATATTTACTTGGTATTCTAATATGTTCACAGATTTATGCACTTGTTGAGTATGAAACAGTGGAGGCTGCTGAGAAAGCTGTAAGTAGCGATATCTTCTTCCTTAAGCAATTGGGGCTTTCAAGTTAAAACATAGCATGATATTGCCTGCTAATAATTTGCTGTTTCCGAAGGTGGCTGCTTTGAATGATGAAACGGATTGGCGAAATGGCTTACGGGTCCAACATCTTCAAAAGCGGAAGGTATGTCCCAACATTTTCTTCTCTGTCAATGAGAACTCTTTTGACTTGCATTTTGTCTCAGGGTAATGGTCTTGGACGAAAGGTCTGGAGAGAATCCGATTCTGAGAAGGGTGGCCTTGCTCAAGTGCATGTTTCAACAAAAGATGGTAAAATTCATTCAAATGTGCAGCATGATGACCTTGATGATGAGGCAAGTTTTTAAAATATCATATATTTGTGGTTAATATCTTCTAAATTGAAACGTCATTTTTATGAGCATGAAAGTACGAAAGTGATACCATGGAATGACGTGGGTTGATCGATGTACTGTGTTATTTATTGAGTTAATCTTCATTTCGTTCAATCTGCCCTAACATGGCTAATTACAAATCTAGAAAGCAGCTGAGAGCTAGTACATACTTGATAGCTCAACTCCTCACGCAGCCTCATTTTATACTGAAATCCCAGTGGCTGCTTTATATATATTGAAAATTTGGTATCTTAAAAAAAAAAGAAAAGAAAATAAAAGGTAGCTTGCGAGCCTTCTAAATTTAGTGAAATTAGCTCGGTGTTCATTGCTATAGGGTATGCTATTTGCAATTTGTTTTTGTTGCTGTTGTGAAACCACATATTTTTGAGAATTGAGACCATGCTGCTAATTGCTTGGATTTTATGTTAAATGAGAAAGTAATGTGTGAATTTTGACAAGAATCCAACTTATTTGCCTTTTGCACTATGTACATTCCTTGTTTTATGTTTCAAGATAATCTCTTTTATTTTAAATTTCTTCCAAAGAAAAAAGTTACTCTTTGTTCTTATTTGAACTCGCTTTTGTAATAGGATGGAGAGCACAGATCCAAAGAAGGAAATGGACAGAAAGGTCGAAACCGATCTAAGGGGCGAAAATACCGTGGCAACAATGGCATGGGTGTGTAAACAAGCTTCCCCACCCCCACCCCCCCCCCCCCCACCAACCCACATTCTCATTTTTCCCTTGGCAATATAGAAAGTCATTTTCCTTTCTTATGTTGATTGGATGGTTTGATGAAATTGCTAATTAAGAATCTCTCAATCTGTTAGGACATGGGATGGCTACTACTATTGAGTCCTCTAATAAGCCACCTCCAGGTCCGCGAATGCCTGATGGAACAAGAGGATTTACTATGGGACGTGGACGTCTTCCTACGTCTTGCCACAGTTGATGGAGTTGTCCAACCGATGATGGCAGCGATCTGAAAATGACATGTCTGTATTATACCAGCTAAACACTAATATACATTTCCTACCTTTTGGGGATGTAACATTGATGACCTAGCTTAAATTTCGTGTGGCATTGTGTGTGTTTGGGAAATAGGAGTTGGGAATTTGTTTATCTTTGAACAGATATGTTGTAATCTAAGATTGGCCGGCCCATAAGAAAGTCTTGCATGAAGCTTCTATCAACTTTAATTCTTGTTGTGGACCTTGTGGGAGAACCAAAATCTAAGATCAATTAGTCTGAATTAGGAAAAACAAGGATTAAATAAGGTAATGTCTTCTAACATAGGACAAGAATAGAAGATCATCCTTCAATTCTATCAAATACTTCCAAATGTTCTTCTAGTTCCAGGGAGAATTTGCAAAACTCCGTTTCCATTGAGAGTACAATGAAGTTTTCTCGTATTTCCACCAAAGAATCTAAGAGAGACATTATTGTCGAGATTTAGGTCATTGACATATCCTTTGTCTTTATTTGACCCCAATTGGATTGAAACGACTTTCCTATCGAACCGCTGTGTGTCCGTAAATTTCTGATTGAACAGAATCTCCATAGCCAATTTTCCATGTTGGATTGTGAAGAAGGTGTTGCCTTTGGTACTACTCTTATTTCACACAATCCAAAAACGTCCCTTGTGTTTCAAGTTTTGTGCAATAAATTCATGTGCACAATTCCCCAAAAATAATTCTTAATGGTTGTTCAAAAAATCAGGGGCATGTGGTTAAGGAGTTAAAGGTATGAGAAAGAAAATGAGAATAATTCATCTATGGGTTACTAAATGCTACAATAGAAACACTCATGTCGTAGTATTAAATGACCCATTTACCTTATATATTTAGGGGCCGTTTGGTTGGGGGTATTCAACAGAGGGAAAGGGAATCAACTGTCATGAATCCCTTTGTTGATGTTTGATAGGCAAATTCAATCATTCCCTTTACCCCTTCCATTACCCCATTTTCCTCTATTTTCATTTCCCACCCCCCCAAGGGAATCACCCTAACCCCTAAACTCCTCTTCACCCAACTACCTTGACCACCCTCGAAACCAACTGCCCACCGACACCACCGCCCAACCACCACTAGAACCATCACCTAGCCACCAACAAATCGCCGACACACTGACACCACCACCCAGTCACCACCGAAACTACCCAAAACCATCCAGCCACCACCGAAACTACCCAAAACCACCCAGCAACCACCCAAATGCACCGGAAAACAAACCATCTTCCCCCAAACTACCCAACTCCACTCGATATAACTTTCACCCACCCCGTTCACCACCCATTACCCACGAAATCATCACAACCACCACAAAACCACCCAAAAAACCCTAACCATCTCAATAAAAAAACTCATAACCACCACATAAACAACCCCCCAAACACCAAAAAAAAAACACACACATAATACTCTATTAACAAACAACGTACTAGATCTACCAAAAGGTTACTTAAAAAAGAGAGAGAAGAGGGAGGACATCGACATATAGCAATGGAGTCGGTGCGGGCAGGAAAAGGCCGAGGAGTTGGTCGCCGGCAAGGAGGGTACGGTGGAGGCCGACGAAGGGGAGTGGGGGAGCTCGGTGCCACTGGAGGGGAAGGGGCTGGAGTTGGTTGTTGGCCATGCAGTTGGTACTCATAAAATTGATCCCATTCTTTTGAAGTAAAACAAACAACCTATGATAAATGAGGGAGTTGCTTTCCATTCTCCCTCTTTCCCTTTCTTTTAGCCATTCCCTTTCCCATTTGCGAACCAAACGGCCCCTTTGTGATCCTTCAAGGCCTCAATAGTGTTTGAATATTTTAACTAATAATTTACTTTTTCAAGTAATTTCCATCATGTCCACATTTTAAATAGAGTTTGAATATTTTAAATAATGATATTCAAGGTTTATATCATGTTTAAATAAAATAAGGTGTGAGTGAAACATAAGTAGTGAAGATGAGAATTATAGCAGTAGAAATTAAAATGGAGTGTGTGGGTTATATTTAAAAGAGAGCCAAATTAAGAACTTTGGACTTTTGGTTAAGCTAATTTAAATTCATTTGTTTTAAAATATAAGGTAATGTTACATAAAAACATTTAAAGAAATTTCAAAATGCATGACAAAATTACTTATCGATGGCCACAATTGGTGTAATAAGAGCTATGTACATTAATTTACTTAACATAATGGATGTTTTTTTTTTTTTTTTTTCAAACCTCGAGGACAACTGATAAAATTTGTAAGGGTACTGTTTCGGGGTTTTTTAATGTGTCCTGCGGGAGAGTTACAATTCCAAGAATGCCCTTCGATCGCCTGTACCTGCAAAATCACGAAGACTCCGGTTGGGTGGAGCTCCGCCTCCGACGATCAAGTCAGTGATGTACGGGAGGAAGAAAGTGCGTAAAAGAGTAATTACTTCTCGCGTAATGGGAGAATTCCACAATTAAGATTGCTCGGTTTTTGTGTAAAATGTATTTTTGATAGTATTGAATGCCAATTGATTGTAAGTCCCCCATTAATGAGGACTCCCCCACTATTTATAGTGGGGAGCATTGGTCCCCCATTTAGGGTTCCTAGGACACGTGTCAGCAGGGGATTGGAGCCCTGCTGACCAATAGCAAAATGCCACGTGTCGCACTGCCATTAGGCCACGTGGCTGGGGTAATTTTACCCCAAACATTTGCCCCTCTCAGGTGCTGACGTGGCAAGGTACCACGTGGCACCTGAGAAGAGAGCTGACGAAAATATTATTATTATTTTTTTTTTTTTTTGAAACCCCTTCAAATTCTAACTGAAGGAAGAGGGAAAAGCAGAAGGGGAAGGGTCGCGCCCCTTCGCCTTCCGGGACAAACCCTATAAATAGGGGAGGAAGCACACGAAGCCTTATTTACAAACTTCGTGAAATTTCTTGAATTTTGAGAGCATTCGGCATTTCAGAGCATCCGGTACTTGAAATTCAGAGCACACGGAGACTTCATTATTTTAAAAGCAGCCGGTTTTCAGACCGCCTGTGCAGTAGCAAGCAAGCAAAAGATTTTTGAGAGGGTACCTCAGAGAACCCAGCCGGTATTCAAACCGCCTGTGTCTTCGCAAGCATCCCAAGAAATTTCTTGAGGTTCTCAATACTTTACTTTAGGTACCGTCTCTATTCTTTCTTGCTTTTCCATGTATTTCCGTTTGCATCTTTTGCTTGCATTTTTGTTTACAAGTGCCATAGATAGATGGACCCTTTATACCCGTACCAGGACCATAGTTGTGAACTCAGCCGGTCAATTAGTACGGCTGAGTCTAGAACTGGATTTGCCGCCTCTGATCTTTGGAATTTCCCCTTTTCAACGCCTGTATCGACCGACTCCGTGTCTGTGCAGGACACCATGGCCAGAATTAGGGGAACAACTATGGACCCCAATTACAGAGGCGGGGACTCGAATGAGTTATCGCCTGAAACTCGAGGCCCGGACGGGGAGGTTAGAGAACCATTCGGCGGTACCCCCGCCACTCCAAGAGATAGCATTCTAGGCTCCTACAACGAGGAGACCTCTCCGGCTGAGGAGGCTGAGCAGTCAAGAGCTGCCATTGATGCTCCCAACTCCCCGGCCGGCTCTGATGACGGTCGGGTTGAAAGTAGTAGCTCCAGCTACTTAACCGTATCAGAAGATAGCGAGGAGGCGGAGAGGCCTTCGTGGCAAAGCCGAAACGACCCTCTCATGATCGCCGTCTCCCTAAAGGACCGCGCCCTCATGCGGTCTTCCCTTCTAGACTTTATTACCAGGCGACCGCTTGGTGAGGGGTACAAGATGACCGTGCCGGGGGAGTTCGGGACGGTCGTATGGGAAGATGACCAGCCCAACGCTAACAACTGGTTTGGATGCTACGAGGCGGCTTTCCTAGCCGGCGTCCGCTTCCCTCTTCACAATACAATCAGGGCCATACTTAGGGGGTATGGCCTTGGCATTTGGCAGCTCACCCCAAATTCTTGGGTGAATATTTTAGGGTACATCGCCGCCTGCGAGATGCAGGGTCTCAACCTTGGCTGGGAGGCGTTTGCCCATATGCACTATTTGAGCCGGAGCCCAGGCGGCTGGAGGGCCTGGTATACCTTGACTACTCACCCCAAATATATGATGACCTTGGACAAGTCGTCCAAGTGGTCGGACTGGAAGAACCAGTTCTATCTGGTCAAAGCTCCGTCTGAAGAGGAGAACAAGGAGTACCGGACCTACAACCGGAAGCCAGAGCTTTTGGGGCAGAAGTGCCGGCTGCCCCCTGTCCCTGATACCGACCGGGTGGCCATTCTGGACTCTGGTTTCTTCGAACTGACCTCTACCTCTTTCACATCCGGAGAGATAATAAGGGTACCCAAGAACTGGGTGCCCAAACACGAATTTTTCAAGGACGAGTGTTTCTTGTCCGCCTGTGGGCTTAGCGGAATGTGGAAGACCAAAGGTTACGAACCCTAGCCGGTTAATTTGTTGCCGGCTGTCCTTTTTCTCTTGATTGCAATGTAAGATTCATATTTCTGACTGGATGTATTTTCGTTTTGCAGAAGAAGCTAAGAAGATGCTACCTTCCGCCAAGACTTCCGCAAGGAAGGCTTCAGATATCCACAAGGAGAATCTGGAGAAGAAACTTGCCGCTCAGGCGGCTAAAAAGGTTAGACCGCCTGACCTTCTCTATGTGCTTGGCTTTGATGTTGCTTTGGCTAGTTATTCATCTAACCGCTTGTGGTCTTGTTTCAAGATGGGGGTGTTATTCCCCGTTCCTTGCAAAAACAGATCCGGCAAAGGCCGTCTGTTGAAGAACCGGCACTCAAGGTGCCAAGAAGTGCTTCTACCGACCGGGCTACAACCGGCGGTAAATCAATAAAGACCCTAGGCGGGTCTAACACTGAGAAGGCCTTAGAGGCCACTCCAATAAGGACCGCAACCGGTCCATCTGCTTCTGGAAGCCAAAAGGCTTCCCTTAAAGGTACAAACCCTTTCTACCTCACATTGCTCGACATACCCATGCGGGTAAAATTGTACTCCTCTTCGCAGCCGGGAGATTCTCCGATCAGCCGGCTGTCCGTTAGTGGAGCGTACGCAACATTCTCACCGTCTGTTTCTGGTGCAGATAACTCACCACACTGGCCGGACGCTGCTCAATACGCCCGAGCCATGCTGAAAGCCGTCCCTCGGGACGAGAAGGAGGCGATTCCTGGAGTAAATACC